CGATCCACGTGGCTTATTTATTTTGTGGACTTCCCGCGTGGCTTATAAACTTTACAAACGGGCTTATGATGCACCCCTCATCAAATTCACCACATTGCTAAGTCACTTTCGCGAGAAAATTTCGCTGAAATCTTTACCAACTCATCTTTGCATAAATCTCGTTTGGTAAATTATGCTGATGATCCATTCATTGTTGGCGGCTTTCATCCATCATTTTCATTATTATTTCTTTTTGGCTTGTATAGTTTATGAAGGATTTTAATTTCTTTTTTTTGAAAACTCGACTCTTCATTACCAGTGGCTTGAGCAACGAGTTTGGCTTTTTTCTTAACGCGTAGATTGCAGTTTTCCGGAATCCCGGATAAGGGACTGCTGTTATTTGTTAGTTGCTTATTCGTGTGTTGTTTGTTCCTGAGGGACGAATAGGTGTCTGATCGGATTGGGAATCTTTGTAACAAAAGCCTTTTGGGAAAATTCATTGATCAATTGTGGCAAGCCAACCATGGAATTGCTTAATCCCGACCAACAAATCTCAATAATCCAGATACAAAATGGTTTATTGGAACAATTAAAAAATTTCATAGAAAGCAAGTCAAACCACATGTATGTGGCTTTCCGGTCAGATCGTTCAATGCGTAGTAGAACCTCGACTGTTTACTTTCGAATTTAGGTTTCATTGTAGGCTTACACTTTTATTAACACGCTAATGTTCCGATGCGAAAGTTTCGTTTGCGTGATCCAATTCCCAAGCCCTAAGTTCCGATAAATATACTGTATTTATACATACGTGTATACTGTATACTGGAAACTCGAACACGAATTAAGGGATCCGGATTTGTGGCTTGTTTTGCGAGAAATTAAGTAACGCAAAACCTCTCTATCCAAACGAGTGTATTGCACTGTATATGCGGATTGACATTTTAAAGTTAACCTTATCTTTAGATAACCTAATCTGAACCATGTCACCAAATTAGGCCATCGATCCTGAGGGAAGTCAAGCTATTCGAGTACCATTAGTACTACGGTATGTGCAAACGAACGTAAAATTATTTAGCGAAAAAAAAATTTTTTTTTTTTTTTAATTTATTTAATTTATTAAATCTCAATTAAAAAAAAATACAAACTTTTTATATAATACTAACCCATAAACAATATACAAACATCACTTTAATAACGCGAACATCGATCATTTATTGTATTTTCACATTATTATAAAGTTACATAAACTGATAACAAATATACTAAAGATTACATTAACAATATACTAAAGGTAACATTAACAAATATACTAAAATTTTGATTTATGATTATTTTTTTTTTAACAGATAAGCTTGATATTATTGTTTTCAAATGATTTTTTTTAAATAAAAAATATATTGTTCTTTTATTCATATTGTATATGACAAAATATATACGTTATGTTAAGAGAAAATTAATATCTCTTATATTATTTAATAAGCTAAATATTAGTTTTACTTATAATTAATTATTTAACAATACATTTAAAAAAAAATTTTTTTTAAACAATATATAAATAATATTAAATAGTATTAAATAATTTCATTCATTATTACAAATAAAATTTTTATTCAAATTATTTTATTTTTCCAATATTTTATTATTTGTTAACAAATTTTTATTAACAAAAATATTTAAATATAATTTTATATAAATAATAATCAAATATATTATTATTATTATTAACAGTTAAATTATATTATTTAAAAAATTGTTATTTAAAATGGTATAAGTATTTATATCCAAATTGATAATTATAACTGGAATTTAAAATAAATTTAAAAAAAAATACAAAATAATTTATTAATAATTTATTTAAAAAATTAATAATTATATATAATATAAAAAACAAATACTAAATTTGAAAAGGCAATTAATTAGAATTCAATATGCAAAAAAAAACATTTTTTTAAAGAATTGAATTATCAAAAAAATTAATTAAAAATCCAAAAAAAGATATCAGTTAATTTTTTTTTAAATAAAAAGATTATATATACAAGTTTTTTATTAAGTTAATTATATCCAATAAATTGTATATATTTAGATTTATTTAAGTTAATTTATTTATTTTCTTATCTATAAACTTGTCCAATATATTAATTTATTATTTTAAAAAATAAACTTATATATCAGATAAAATCTTTAAAAAATAAAAATTCTATTACTAGTTTTAAATTATTTAATTTAATTTAAATTTTGTCTCAATTGCATTTATTATAAAAAAATATTTTATTATTTTGCAATTAAAACACCTGAATATTTTAATACTTTTTACTTAAAACATCAAAAAAGATAAATAACTTTTTATTATTATCTATGACTTTGGACTTTTTTTATAATCAAATTTTTTTCTTTTAAACAAGTACTAGATTGAAATAGCCCTAGGCTAAAATATTTTTTGTGCTATATATATAACTAAAATTATTTTATAATTGACTCAATTATTTAAAATTTTATTGTGCCATAATTAATATATCACAAGTTACAATTGTACTGCAAATATATAAATTTGTCACATTAATAATTTGTTGCAATTAATAAATTTATTACAATTGTATTACAATTAAATCAATATAATACAACCATATGATTTTTCACAAATTAAATCAATATAACACAATTATTTAATTTGTTCTAATTATTAAATTTGTCACAATTGTACTGCAATATTAAAATTGTATCATAATTATTAATTAATCAAATTAAAAAAATAAAATTAAATTAAATTAACAAATTAATTATTTTTCTATTTATTAATTCATTTAAAATACAAAGTAATAACAATTAACCAGTTTCTTTATCATTAAAAAATACAGTTAAATAATCAGAATCAATTGCCTGATAATATTTTTACAAAACATCTATAATAAAAGTTATGGATACTTTTTAATAATATATTATTATTGTAACAAAAAATATTAGTATAGTAAATCAAATATTTTGAAAGACTATTTAACAAGTGAGTATATATTTTACCTTATTGAAATTCAAAATAATCTATAAAATCTATAAGTAAAAAACCAATTATTTTCTCAAGAAAGCTCCCAAACAGGTTTGTGATTTTATCTCTCTGACTTTTTGGTTACTATAGATAATGAAGTATACATGAATTTGTTTGTTGTTATAGTTGTTAATAGTGAGTTAGTTATTGTTGTTATTGTGATTGTTGTTATGATACAAAGGTTTAAGCTTGTTTGAATTTTGTTTTGATCTTTAAGCAAAATCTGATTGGATGATTGGAGAGTACTAATCATCTGAAGGAGGTAAACTGATTTTGGTTTTTTGTGTGAAAAATTTTTAAAGGTTGAAAGTGATGCAACAGATATTGCTACAAAGATATTGTATATAAGGGTTGACTTGAAATAAACAGTAGACTCACTAACTCTGTTTGAGTACATATTTTGAAAAATATTTGACTTAGTAAGTATGATGATAATAATATGTATAGTTTTTATAATAAAATAAGGGTAAGGAGAAATGCAAAAGAACTGAAGAAAAGAGAACTGCCACGAGCCTTTTCTTATACAACCAAAGGATAAGCAAGACTCCCAAACTTGAATAGACTTTGATCAGAGATCCCATCCTACTATATCAATTGTCTTAAAGATTCTTGGGTTTCTAAGCTGGGGCTCACTTATAATAAAAAGAATAAACTATTTTTTCTTACTTAAAATTACCATAAAAGAAAAATTTTTAACAAAATGAATATGATCAAGAGAGAGTTTTTTCAAAAATCAATTATTGATTTTTTTAAAAATTTAGATAGTAGTAATAATAGTAATAATAATTTTAAGATAAAAGATTTAATTAATCAAGCATTAGGTAATAATAAGTAAATCAATTTTTTAATAGATTTTGTTAGTTAATAATTTTTTTTTATAAATATTAAATATAATAATTCATATATACAAAATATATAATTATTGTAGATTTTTTTTTTCAAATAAATAATTGAAATATGTATTGAAAAAAAATTTTTTTTAATAATTATTTAAAACTTTAGATTATTTTTGATAAGATTTGATATAATCACAAAAATAATAAATAAAATAGCCATTCAAAAAATAAGTGTATAAAAAGAAGAAGAAGGGAAAAAAGAATAATAAAAAGAATAGTAAAATTTTAAGTTTTTTAAAATTAAAATTAAATATCACTTTTGCTTTTAATAATCTTTATTATTTTTTAACCAATTTATATAATTAAATATTTATTTGAAAAAATTAAATTTTATATTAAATAATAACTTAATATTTATAATCAATATATAAATTAATATATAAAAAATCAAAAAAAAAATTTAAAATAAAAATTAAATATTTTAAAATTTTAGCAATTTATATAATTAAATGTTTATTTAAAAGAAAAAAATTTTTATATCAAATAGTACAATATTTTATAATTAATATATTAAATTAAATACAATTATATATTTACAGTATATAATAAAAAAAACTTGTTAAAAAAAAAAAAAAAACTCTCACCCATTCACCACTGATTTCTTGAAAATTTCCTTTTATAGTAATTTTCTTGAAAGAAGCGCTTTACTCTCTCTCTTCAATAT